TGTCAAATAAATAAATAAAATCTTTAAAAAAAAAAAAAAACTTATAATGAGGGGTGCCTGGGTGACTCACTTAGTTAAGTGTCTGCCTTCAGCTCAGGTCATGACCCCAGGACCCTGGGATCGAGCCCCACATTGTGCTCCCTGCTCAGTGGGGAGTCTGCTTCTCCCTCTGCCTGCCGCTCCTCCTGCTTGTGCTCGCTCTCTCTCTCACTCTCGCTCTCTATCTCAAATAAATAAATAAATAAAATCTTTTAAAAATAAAAAACTTACAATGAAGTATATTTGCATACAGAAAGGTGTACAAATTATAATGTATAGTTTGGTGAATTTTTGCAGAATGAACACACCTGAGTACCAACCAGATCAAGAGAGACCATTACCAGGCTCTTAGAAGTCCCATTGTGCCCCCTGCCAGCCCCTCACCCACCCCTACCTGAGTGTAACCACTCTTCTGACTTCTAACAGCAGGCATTAGTCTGCCTGCTCTTGAACTTCACATAAGTGGAATCACACAGTATGTGTTTTGGGGTCTGGCTTTGTTACGTTTGTGAGATTCATCCATATTGTTGCATGTGCTGTGTAGCATTCTGTCGTGTGAATATTCTATAATTTACTTATCCATCCTCTGTTGGTGAGCATTTGGGTTGTTTCCAGTTTGGGACTATTAAGAATTAATTTTCGTGCACGTTGCATGAAACGTCTCTGGGGGCACGTTGGATGCATTTCTGTTGGGTACATGCCCAGGAGTAGAATTTCTGGTCATAGGGGATGCTGCATTCAGCTTTAGTAGATACCGATCAGGCCATCTTAAAAGCCACAATGAGTCAGGCCCATAGAAGTTCATAGAAGGATGATGTCCTGGCCTCAAGGGACAGAGAGGGGTGGGGGAAGCTTCATGCCACCCCCAGACCACAGCACTCCACCCTGCTGCAGTCCCCCTCTCCTCCTGGATTCATCCCCAAAGCTGAGTTTCTATTTTCAGTGTTCCCAGCCATCTTTCAGGAAGAAACAAGCACATAGCAGGGAAACAGTTTCTCTTATAGGCATTTGAAAAAAAATTATGTTATAAGTGTTCTGGAAGGAACAGGTTCCAAAGTCCTGAAAATACTAAAAAAGGTGAACAAAACTCCTCCAAATGCATTTGAATTTCAGGTCATCAGAACCATCACTCTGATCTCATTTTGTGCCACTTCTCCTGTGGTCCACAATGCAGCCACACCCCCATCCTCCAGCACACCGGGCTTTGGTGTCCGCCAGTCCCTCTGCCTGAGCTACCTTTTCCTCAGCGGTCAGGGCAACTCCTCTGGCTTATTTAGTTTGAGGTTTGGACTTTTCTTACCACCACCACCCCCCTCCCATCAATCCTATCATTCTCTAGTTTATGACCTGTTGCATTTTCTTCACTGAATCTTTTTCTGAAATTATGATTTTTGGCTAGCTTGTTCACTAGCTCCTGTAATGTGTGGCTCATACTAGGTGCTCAAGAAATAATTATAGGATGAATGAGGTGGATGAATCATATCATAAGCTGGCTTGAAGGAACTTGATCTTGGGCCATCTTCTCTGGGATGTCTGAGCTCTCTTTGCCCCTCTGAACCCCGTGGGGCTGAGGTAGCTCTGAATTTGACAAATAATTTGTTCCTGAATGCCTGCAGATTGGTCACTGCCCCTGTTGGGCAGGTGTCTCCCCTGGCACTTGGCTCTGAGCCAGAGGACGCGGTAACAACTGAGGTGTGAACGCTATGTCAATGATTGACTGGGGCTGTCTCTCCACTGCATATTTCCAAGCACAAGCTGGGAATGCATCATTAACTGAGGCCCTGGAGCCAACCTGAGTTTCCCTCCCTCCAGAGAGAGGGGCATGACCAAGTTTCCCATCATCAATCCTTGGGAGACTAGAGGAGAATCAGAACTCTAGCTTGACCCAACAAGGACTAAACCCTACTTGCCTCCTGGGAAGGTTTTCATAAAAGCTGGTGCAGGGGACCAGTAAAGCTCTGTCGCCCCTCTTAGCTCAGGGAAGCCCTGTCAAGTTGGCAGAACTGGCATTATTCATCCTGTTTAGGAAATGAGAAATTGGAAGGCTGGCTCAAATTCTCATAACTAGTGTTTGTCCTAAATCCAGGCCCTGGCTCCCTCCCAGCACCCCATTGCCTCTCTCCCTGGTTGGAGGTAACACTGAAGGGGAGGAGGGATGGGCAAGCCTAGTAGAAATATGGGCTGGTTCCTTACCCCAAGTCTGCCTGCAGTGGGTCCTTGCAATTCCATCCCATTCAAACTCAAAAACTATTCATGAAGAACCTAAGTGTTCCAGGCACTGCACAAGGGTCAGAAAACTAATAGTTTGATAATAACAAGAGCCACTTTGGCCATTTATTTTGAGTGCAGCACAACGTAGAGCAGGGGTTGGTCAATGACAGCCCATGGGCCAATTTTGACCTGACAGTTGACCTTATAAATAAAGTTTTATTGACACCCATTGGTTTATGTGGGACTGCTTTTCCACTGTATCAGCAGAGTTAAGTAGTTGGGAAAGAGATTGCTTGGCCTTAAGCCCTAAAATATTTATTATCTGGCCCTTTGCAGAAAACACTTGTGGGTCGCAGTGCTTATTAGCTGGGGGGCCTCGAGGAAGTTGTTCCATCTCTCTCTGCAGGTTCCCATCTGTAAAAGCACCTGCCACGCTGGGTTGTTGTGACATATGTAAAGGGGCCCAGAAGAGTGATGGAGCACAGTGAATGGTTCAGATCCGTGTCAGGGCTTGTGCCTTACAGACTGGTTTCACCTCGTCAGTAACCCTAGGAGGGAGATACTTCCACCATCTCCATTTCACAGAGGAGAAAAATAAGATTTGACAAGAGGGAAGCGATGGTCCTTCCTTCAGGCGTGTGGTAAGGATATAAAGCCAGGTGGTGTCTGCCAGTTTGGGCAGCCTCTTCTGAGGACCCAGGAGAAGAAGTGACATTGGCTCCTGCCCTGTGCTCTTGCTAGACAACGAAGAACAGAATCAGTTCTGTGAAATGAGGGCCTTGAGGGGGAAGCATAGGTGCTGTGGGACTCCAGAGGAGGGCTGGCACCCTGATCCAGGCAGTCAAAGGGGACTTGCTGGAGGAGGCGGTGATGCAGCTTTCCTGCATTGCAGAGGTGGTCCCGGGCACTGGCTCCTACCAAAAGGGGCTCAGACAGTCTGGAAGTTGCCACATTGTCACCTTTATTGCCTCAAAGATGAGTCAGACCTCACGTCCCCTCCCCCCCTCCGCCCCCAGGCCACCATTGTCCCACAAGCCCCTTGGGAGCCACTGCACTGCCTGGTTTTGTACGTAATCCGCCTTGAAGTTGGCACTTTTGCGGCTCCTTCCCCTGCAAGTCTGGCCTGTGTCTCATGCCCCCTTGTGTCCACTGTGAGAACTGCAGCCCCTGCAGGTGGTAGCTCTCTCTGGACCCTTTAGTTTTTGCAACAAAACTCAAACAGGCTTATTGCAGACTTGCTAAATGCTAAACCCTGCAAAAGACTATCTCAGTTTCCTGATTCAATCATTCACACATATAATGGGAACATTCTACTAGCATAGAACAGGTTGTAATAGGCACATCGGCATTTGTCAGTTTCGTTCCATCCGTGCATCAGTTTTACACACATTTATGCATTTGTATACCTAGCATTTTTAAAAATTAGGACCTACCACGTGCCACACTGAGTCACATAATTCTTCAAGCATTCTTGACACCGAGATAGGGCCTGACACAGGGTAGTTTCTCAATAAAAGCATTGAATAAGTGAATGAATGAGTTAATGAATGAAATGGATGATGATAAAGCTCAAGTGTTTGGTAGTCACCCTGTCCCAGATCTGTTTCATCATCTCCCAGTGTCCCTTTTCTTGGCCTGCGACCCTGTCAAAACCATTCTAAAGTAGAAGATCGGGGCAGGAGGTAGGAGGTGGAGTTAGGAACTCACTCTCTGGTCTCTGGCAGTTTGTGAGGCATACATCTCACTATCCCACCTCATGGTGTTTCTGAGGCCCACCAACTGAGACGCAAGCTGTGGTGGAGGCAGCTGCGTGTTCACCAAAATTTTATTTTCCTTATGGACACAGATCAGGGCCATATTGCTCAGCCTTTCAGTTGAGTGGGGCCATGTAACAGAATTTTGGTCATTGGAATGAGATGTGATGTTTGCCACTTCCAAGCCTGGGTCATGAGCACCACCAGTGGCGATCCTCTACCTCCTTGACCCAACTGCTGGCTAGATACAGAGAAAATGGCAGGGGGCTCAGAGGCCCTAAGGGAAGGTAGAGCCACAAGCTGGAAGGAACCTGGGTCCTTGAAAGATTGTATGGAGCTGAGCCACCCACCTCCACCCTCTGGCTGCCAGCTGGGCTCTACATGAGCAAGAAATAAACTCGTAATTCTGTTACACCACTGAAATGCTGGTGTTTGTGTTTCCAGAGCTAGCACTGCCTTGACACACAGGGGCTGTTACCTTTGCAACTGATGGGTTCCGACCTGTTGCCCTCAAAAAACAGCTTCAACTCTGGGGCCTTCTTAACGTCAAACTCCTTCTGAAGTTCCTTCTCCACCGTGATGTCCACTTTGCCAAAGCCGAGCCCGTTCTTGCCTTTGCCCACGACTTCCACAGCTTTGCCCAGTTCCTCAGCCAGGTTCCTGGATTGCTTGGAGGATGGGTTGTCTGAAAGAGCCAGTATAAATCAGAACTTGGTAGAGCCTCTCCCGCTCCCCATCTCCCGAGAAGGAGGCTGGGTTTCACCCTCTTAGCTCCCGGGCCTTCTTCGTGCTCTGCTGTACTAGGTAGATTCTCAGAAATGTGGCAGGATGGGAGGCACATGTTTCATGAAATTTGCCATTTGGGAGGCACATCAGGGTTCTTTGGGCTCAGGAACACTGGAAGCAATACAACTTTGGGCAACTCACTCCAACTCTGTGAGTCCCACTTTCCTCATGGGTAAAATGAGAAAAATAGTATCGACTATCCCATAGAGTTCTCAGCCAAGTAAGACTTATTTAACAATCAGTTATACAGTGCTTATTAATTTCTAAGACTTTCCATGGATTGAGCCATCTAATCCTCTTAGCACCCCTATGGGGTAGGTATGGTTATTATCTCAATTTTATAGATGAGGAAACTGATGGGAAGGCAAATGTCCTACTTGCCCAGGGTCCTGTGGCAGTGAGAGATAATAGCCAGGATCTGGAACCACTCAATCGGCTCTCTACCCAGCACTGGTGTGTCAAACCTTCAGCACAGTGCCTGGCACATGATAAGGACATAATGCATTCTTATTACTGCTGTTATTATTATTGTACAATTTCTATGGTCAGAAGTCAGAGGAGAAAGAATGAGGGAGTATGCGCGCCATCTGGTGGAAAGTTCCGGAGTTACAGGCCAAATTGAGCCACTCCCGTTACCCTGTAGCATGAATACATGAGGGGACTCTCAAGTAAGGAAGGTCAGGTGTGAGAAGCGGTTACGATGCCCCCCCACTGTGAGCCTGCCCCCCCCTTGGGGTAACTGGTGTCAAAGAGACCTCACACAGTCGATTAGGATTCATTGGCCCCTCATATTGCTGGGCAGTGAGGTGGGGTTACAAGTGGGGAGCCCCTATCTGGAAAACGGCCTCAGGGAGCTGGCGTGGGATTCCTGGCCTAAATGAGAGAGGACTAAAAGGCACTCACATTTGCCTTCCTTCTTCCTGATAACACTGAGAGATTGCAGGCCCCTCACCGCCCTGATGTCTGCAGCAGGTGGGCCAAGCCAGGGCCAGGGGTCACTGATTCCCTTTCAAGTCAGAACGCATGCCCTGTGCCAGTCCCCACCCCTCCGCCCTGTCCATCTGGAGTGCACTTGGAGAAGGTTCAAATCACTTCCCCTTCCTGGGCAATTTCCAAGTTCCAACAGAGAGGGCTTTTGTAAAGCAAAAGCCAGAAAGCCAGCTCCAGGACAGCTGGTACATGCCCCACTGCCAGTCAGCACACCTGCTCCTGCGATGGAGCCCAAAAGTGAATGATTGTTTTCATTAAATTCCCAATCAATGCACAGGAAGTGGGACTTTTTGCCTCCCCACCACCTGCTTTGTCACCATCATTGTCTTTGATACCGCCGACCCATCACCGCCAGCAGCTGCTGGCCCGGTGCCCCTGCTCCAGCCGTCAGGCCTCTCCCCGGGCTTCCTTGTGGATCTGGCCCTGCTGGCTCAGGGGGTGGCTGATTGACATGGTGTCCAAATCTGAGTCTCTAAGGGAAGCAGCTCCGGGCAAGAAAAACACATGGAATGATTGTCTAAATGGTGGAGCTTGAAGAGGTCCCACACACAGCCCAGTGCTCCTGGGTATCTGGAATGGACGTGAGAGAAACAGTCTGTGATAACAGGAATGCTGGGCTCCTAAAGCTAGCTGGATAGGATCTAACGATAATAGTAATGGCGATTTATCCACGCATCCGTCCATCCATCCATCCATTCATCCGATCATTCATCATTCATTCGACAAATCTTTTCTAGGATCTGCCACGTGCCAGACACGGTTCTGGGTACTGGGGATTTAACAATCAATGGACAAAAATCCCTGCTCTTGTTGGAGAGGACAGAAAGTGAACAAGTATATGCTATCTTAGATGCTAAGTGCTACGGAGACAAAAGAAGCAGAGCTGGGTGTTAAGAGTGTCAGGGGGATTGAGTTTAAGTAGGGAGGCTGAAGGAAGCCTCACCAAGAAGAAACATTTTAATAAAGACTGAAGGAGGTGAGGGAGCAGGTTATGTGGGTATGTGGAGGAAGAGAGTTTCCAGGCAGGGGAACCATAAGTGCAAAGGCCCCCGAGGTGGGAGTATGTGCAGCATGTTTGAGGAATGACAAGAAGTGGAGCAGAATGAGGGGCCTGGGGGTCAGATGACATAGGGCCTTGTCGGCCACTGAATAGATTTTGGTCCCTCTCTGAGGAGTGTGGAAAGATACTGGAGGGTTTGGGGCAGAGTTAGATATGATCCTACTTACTTTTTTTTTTTTAAAGATTTTATTCATTTTTTGACAGAGAGAGACACAGTGAGAGAGGGGACACAAGCAGGGGGAGTGGGAGAGGGAGAAGCAGACTTCCTGCAGAGCAGGGAGCCCGATGCGGGGCTCGATCCCAGGACCCTGGGATCATGACCTGAGCCGAAGGCAGACGCTTAACGACTGAGCCACCCAGGTGCCCCGATCCTACTTACTTTTTAACTGGACTGTACTAAATGTTACATGAACATTAGACCAAAGGGGAAAGAGAGTGGATCCTGGGAGACCAGTTGGAGACCTCTGTAATAATCCAGGTGAGAGATGGTAATGGCTTGAGCCAGGGTAGTGGCAGTGGAGGGAGAGAAGTGGTCAGGGTCTGAGAGATTTTGAAGGAAGAGATGACTGGTGATAGATTGGCTAGATGGGAGGAGATGATAGATTGGATGGGGAGTATGAATGAATGAGAGGAGTCAAGGATGACTCTGAGGTCTTGACCGGAGCAGCTGGGCAGTGAGGTGATGGTGATGATGGTGCTGGTGACAGTAATGATAACAAGGTAACAACAATGACAAGTTAGTGAGCACTTACTGTGCCAACCCCGTTGCCATCCTGGTTAATCCTCAGAACAGCCTCTGAGTTATCTACCATTCCAGGTGAGGAATGTTACGGACAAGAAACAGAAGCCCAGAGGTCTTATAGCTAATATGCGGTTAGGCTGAGATTCAACTCCAAGGCTGACTGACTCCCAGATTCACACTCTAACTGACCATATGGGTGAGCTGGTCTAAAAAAGTTTCCTTTTTCCTGGAGGGGAGGGATGGGGGTGGGTTTTCCATCTCCCCTGCTCTGGGGTGGTTTCCATCAGAGCAGAGAGAATCTGTAGAGGCAAATTCACTTTTTATGATTTACAGTCCTGTCTTCTGGTTTCTTTTTAAAATTTGCAAATTGGTTTTACCGCTGGGGCTCTGCAAACCCAAGTTTGCAAAGGTGAAATGAATGCCTACGCCTCTCAGGTCTTGGTGCCTATGTCCTGCCCTGGCCAACTGGAAATGCCAGTTTGGCTGGGGTGTGGAAACAATTCCGATGTACACTGTTGCTTGGGCAGAGTGGAGCCCAGTGGGTTGTGGATGGGCTGGGAGCCCTCTGCTGGGAGGCGAGAGCTCTTGCAAGTACAGCCTTCCTTGGGTCCTAAGTTCTATCTAGGTAGAGCTCATTGTCTGACTGCCATATGGTATTCAGTGAACTTCATTAGGTTGTCTCATAAAACAGAGGCAGTTATGGTGGTTTACAGCACCTGTGGCCTAGGCAGGTTGTTTTTTAAACATCTCTGTACCTCTGTTTCCTCATCTGCTGAATGGGGATACTAATTGATCCCACACCTTAAGATGATCCTACATAGTAAGACAGGGTGTGCAAAGCTCTGGCACAGAAGTGCCCCCAAATCGTTAACCATTATGATGGCATAGGTGGAGAACCCTTGATCTTGCCCTGACCAGGTTCTCTCTGTGAAGGGAGGGTCTTAATGGAAATGTCAGGATCCTCTGCAGATATTCTGGTTCTTGGGGAAAGAGAGACAAGGGTGACTAACACCAAGTCATCCAACACAAGCCTGGGCCTATTGTGTGGCTCTCATGTGGGTTTTGGGGTAAGCAAATGGGACCCAGGGTCATATTAGAAGAGGGAATGACTCTCTGAATGTCTACCTGATGTGTAGATGTGTTAATGGCTAATAGACCTAGAATCAATGTTTGCCTGCATCTTTAATAGATAACCTCACGTTCCCTTTTCTAAGCAGCCAGTGTGAGTCAGGGGAGGGGCTGGTGGACGGGAAAGTGAGACTTAGGGATTGGAAATTAGCTCTCAGCACAGGGAGCTGGAGTATGCCTTTCTTTAGACATTGGTTCTCAATGGGGGGCATTTGGCCATATCTGGAGACATTTCTGATTGTCACAACTAGAGTGCTACTGACATCTAATGGGTAGAGGTCAGGGATGCCACTAAACATTCTATAATGCATCACACAAGAAAGAATTATCCATCCAGCCAAAGTGTTAATAGCTCTGAGGATGAGAAACCCTACTTTAGACCAAGCTCTAGATCAAGCTTGGAAAAATATTCTGAGAATAATCCTCTACCCATCCCATAGGGCCATTATAGTGTATAGAGGTGCTCGCAGATGATAGGAGCTTTAGGATGGTAACCAATCCCTTCTAGTTCCTCAAGCACCAGCCAACAAATTCCTCTGATCATTGTAATGGCCAGTAAGGCCCTAAAGGACTGTACCTCCTTTCGGATCTTATCTCCCACTTCTCTTCAGCACTTCAGCTTTAGCCATCCTGGCACATTCCCACCCCAGGGCCTTTGCACTTGCTGTTCCGTTTGCCTGAAATGCTCTCCTCCCAGCTACCTGCATAGGTTGCTGCCTTCCTGCCTTCAGGTCCTTGCTGAATTGTCACCTTCCCAGACAACCCTATATAAATTTGCAGCCCCACTTCCACTAACTCTTTGCTCTCTCTGTTGCTCTTCTTTGTTTTTCTCCATAGTGCTTTTAACCCGAAGACATACTACATTCTTTACTTATTTGTTTACCTCAATCTCCCCTCTTTAGGGCATAAGTTCCGTGAAGCAAGGATGTCCATCTGTTTCATGCCTAGAAGTCTGACACATAAGAGGTATTCAATAAAT